AGGGATTGTGGGGCTGGCGCGGGATCGGGCAGTGTTTCGTTCTGCTGTGCATGGGGTCGCTATGAGTCGGAAACGACTCGATAGCACTTAATAACAACAACATTGCCATTTTACTTGTCCACCTTGGGTTTGCTAGCCTCAGCAGCTAGTAGCTGCCTGAGTTAAGAGAAGCCTCCAACTTTAGTGGGCGAGGAGCAAGAGCCAGAGCTGAAGAAGCCCAAGGTCAAGGAGCCTTCTTTGAGACTCTAGAGCTGGCACTTTGAACTTGGACTTCTAGCCTCCTTAAGTGTAAAAGAATAAATTCTTGTTTGTTCAAGCCACCCACTTGTGGTATTTTATATTATAGCAGCACTAGAGAACCAAAACAGATGGGATGTATCATAGAGATATATCAAACTGTATCATCCCAGAGATAGTACATTTCCTCTGCCTGGTGAGTAGCTGCTGCCATAAACAGCACTTCTAAAAAACTCAATCTTGGCTCCTTGGTAGTCTGCAAAATGACTAGCAAGAGTTGTATACCTTCATGCTACCCATATGTTGAAAGATTAAGAAATGTAATCATACATACAAGGGGCTAAGAAGAATCTTTATAACACTTAATTCACTTACTATTTTTATAATAACCAAGGTAGACATTCCAAGTAATCTCCTTAGAATGATTAAGTATCAGGTATGGAATCTTAATTCAACCCACTACCCTGCTTTGAGACTAGGTTCCAGTCTTGACAAAAAGCTCCCCTACACTCTGGAGTCATAATCTGTTCACGCTAATCCTTTCTGGTCCCACTTACTCCCCAGCTCCTGTTCTACTATGAGACCAGCACCCAGAGTGTAATTCTAAATATGTCTGGTGGCATAGTACCTAAGGCATTTCACTGCTAACTAGGAGGTTGATGTTTCAAACCCACCAGCCACTGCATGGAAAGAAGACTGGGCAATCTACTTCTGTAAAGATTTACTATCTTGGAAACCCAAAAGGAGTTGCTATGGGTCAGAAGTGACTCAATGGCAGTGAGTTTGGAGTTTGTTTGGAGGCGCTCTGGTAGTGAAGTGGGTAAGGCATTTGTTTGCTAACCAGAACGTTGGTGGTTCAAACCATCAGCTGCTCTGTGGGAGGAAAATGAGGCGATCTATAAAGATTTACAACCTTGGAGATCCAATGAGGGTCACTATGAGCGGGAATCAACTCAATGGAGGTGGGTTCAGTTTGGTTTTGTATGGTCCAAGCATCAGACAACCAGAACAGTGCTGGCCATAAATAATTGGCATGGCAAAACCATGGTGGACCAATTGAACATCAACCCTGTCTGTGAACTCAGCAGGAAGGACTTGGAAAAAACAAGATCCGAAACTTCTCTATGTTTACATGAAACATTTAGTTGTACACACATGCACAAAGTTCTTTAAAAATAATAATTTTAAAAAACCCACAAACCTTTATTTGAAAACTTCATGTAGACATTTAAAGCACTTTGGCCTGCCGTATAGGGAATGTCATGTCTTTCATGGTTGGGTAGAGGCTATGTATGGCTCCCTTCTAGCCTCTCTGCCTCCAATGGATAGAAACTGAACCAAGGTTTGGTTTTAATGTCCAGCACGTTGGGAAGTTTCTTTATTTTTAAGTTCTACATGTAAATTGATCCCTAATTTATGGATGCAAATTTTAAGACTAAGAGTCTACTACAGATTCGTAAAAATTTTTACAAAAGTGTAAAAACTGTAAAGATTTGAGCATTTCAATGTATTTAAATTTTAGTTATAAAAATATTAACAATCAAATAAGCGGTAGGGAAAGCATGGAGGTATAGATGAAATAAGAATGGTGGAGTGCTAGTAACTGTTGAAGTTGGGTGATGTGTGCACGGGAATTCATGGCACTATTCTGTTTGCTTTAAATATACTTAAAATATTCCAGCATAAAGATTGCTATACCAAATAGGGATTCTTGTCAGATAATTTAAAATCTTTCCTACTAGATCCTACTGTTTCCCTTTTATTCATTTTGAATACTCCCAATTATTTTTACTATACTTCAATTGAACATCTATTAAACTAACCTTCAGGTTCCAATCCAATTTAGAGACTTGATGACACATGTTGCATAGGTCCTGATGATAAACCTTTTATCACACTAAGTACATATGCATTTAAACCTTTTGAGTTTGTATGACTTTTAAAGATTGGTATCAACTGTGCCTGTGTTGGAAAAAAAAAATTCATTATCTTTGGCAAGGTTATTTAAAAAATATTTTCTAAGCATTTATAATTTTTTCAATTACCATATATTTTTATCATAAAGAAGTCTGAATTACTTTGAAGATTCCAGTGGCGTAAAAATCAGAGTCACATTTGAAAGGTTCAGTAGAAAGAGTTACATAAATATTCCCGTTGTCCACCGTCACCGTATGAATTCTTTGCTTTATTCCTTTGGAGCACCACGTGGGTTTTGCTGATGGATCTTTAGGATCTATAGACTGATACAGTCCTTCTCCTGTTGCCAAAGTAATTTTGTATTTATGCCAGGGGCAAACAATACAAGATCGTCCATCAAAATCCTGGGGAAGAAAATAATTGACTTAATAGTCTGACATTTCAAATGCTCATGATAATATCAGACTCGGAACCTACTGCAGAAGAACCAGGCTAAAGAACAGGCCAAAAAGCTTCTCTTTTTCCCTCCCATTTACAAATTACTCAGCCTAAGGCAGAACTTATTCTGACCATAATCATCAAGTCCTTTTTGCAGCTGATTAGAAACCCAGTGGGTTATCAGAAGATGACTTGCTTGGCAACTACACCATGTGACTGTAGCTGTGCTGTTATCTATTAGATGTTAATGTCACTTCCTTGACAGAAGTGAGCAAAGGCTTTAAGTGAAACAACAACAACAAAGGAATTTTCACTAACTGAGAAGAACTGTAAGCTTTAGATATAAATTCAAGTTGTATTACCAAAGGCATGAACACCTATATTAACTGAAGAGCAATTCGTGATCCAAAAAGCCAACACCCCATTTTGTCTTAAAGTAGTGCTTCTCAAACTTGAAAGAGTGTGGAAATCATCTGAATCTTGTTAAATTAGGGTGAAGTTCAAGATTCTGCATTTCTAAAAAGCTCCCAGGTGACACACAGATGCTGCTGGTCTGTGGACCACACTGAGTAGCAAAGACTAAAAGCTCTCTCTTTGGACTCAAAGTGAAGGAAATTCTTTCATGACTATCATCACCAGGTGCTTACGTTTCTCTTCTACACTACAAGTGCAGAAATTCTGATGTTGCATTCCCAGAGAACTGTCAGCAAACATGCATATGAATTTAAACACATGTATGTTTTTAAACATGAACAGCAGAAGTGTGGAAACAGGTATCAGGTGGAGAGAGTGGAAAGCTAAGTTCAATCTTGTACTTTATACCAATCAGAGAGAGAGAGTCATCAGCATCATCCTGAAGTAGAAAGCAAAAAATTAGGCAGCTACCTTTGTAATGTAGTAAGGCAGTTTTCCTATTTGCTCCTCAGTTAAGCTTTCAAAGTGTGGTTTCATTGTATGTGTGTACATATATTTATATACCTATAAATATTTGTGTTAAATTATGAAAGTCATATATACTCATTATAAAAACTTTACATTAAATTTTAAAAGTTTAAATGTGTATTAAGTAAAAAGTGAACATTCCTTTTGACAAAAATAGGGTCTCATTAGACCTAATATTCTACAACTTGCTTTCTTCACTCAAAAATGTATTAATGACATCCCTTCATACCAACACATATAATAAGTCTACCTCATTAATTTAATGGTGACATAGTATTTCATAGTATGGCTGTATCATAATTTATTTAACCAGTTTCCTATTATTAAAACATTTAGGTTGCCTCCAATTTTTTCATTACAATAAATAATGCTGCAACAAACCTCCCATTCATTCATACACACACACACACACACACACACACACTTAAGCATTTGTGCAGTAAGATGTGTAAGATATTGTTGTTGTTGTTGTTAGGTGTCATCGAGTCATCTCCAACTCATAGTAACCCTATGCACAGCAGAAGGAAACACTGCCTGGTCCTGCACCAGCTCCACAATTCTTGCTATACTTGAGCCTCCATGTGTAAGATAGGTATCTCAAACTATTGTACAAATGTTTGTGAGAGAGAGAGAGAGTGTGTGTGTGTGTGAATGAATGAGAGGTTTGTGTTTTTTTTTTACACTGTAGAGTTGTGAATTTCTAGAATATTGGTGATTATATTCAAAGCATTAAAATACAATCCAAACCCAAATATGGATAATAGGAAACGTGAGTTTGTTGAAAACAGATTTTACATACCTCTATTTCTCCCAAATGTAAAGGTCCTCCTGAGTCTGAAAAGGAATTAAATATTACATCTGGTCACTAGAAAATTGATAGTTTGGTGGTTTTGTGGTTAGTAAATAAATATAAGGTTTACATATTAAAAAATAAAATCTTACGGTAACAACGAATATCCATAGCATGATATTCTCCTTTGTGGTAGAAAATGACCACTTCTCGGTCATGGACAACAGCTGTCATTCTTTCAGACTTTTTAAGAGCATCTTCTCTGCCAACACATACAGAAGAATATTCCTTCTTTTCAGGATTTTGTGTAGAGCTGCTGAGGTCCATGCTAGTTGAACAACAAAAACAAAATAATGTTGCTAGTGGCTTTCATTAGTTTGGCTACAACTTAATCCATAGAGATAATCCTAAAACAAGTCTGGATTTCTCTGAGACTAATGAAGCACTTTTCTGTAGCTGCGTAAAATAACACATTCAAAGTACTGAGTGAACTGAGTCAATATTCTGAGTTAGAGACTGCCACAATTAAGGATGACTCCTCACTCTGAAGCAAGACTAACATTACCTTAATTTTAGTCTAAGATGGAAATTTCAGAACTCTAGGATACAGAGGCTAGATTCACCATCCTTTTATTTTTTTATCAAATTCACAGCTAAACAATATCCAATTATTGTCTACATCATTTTCAGTCTTTTGTTGAAGTTGGGATTCTTTGATAGTCTTAGTAGTCTTGGACCCCATATGTTGTTGTTGTTGTTATGTGCCGTCAAGTCGGACCCGACTCATAGCAACCCCTCCTTGGGTTTCTGAGGCGGTATCACTACGGAAGTAGATCACCCAATCTTCCTTCTGAGGAGTGGCTGGTGGGTTTGAACCGCCAGCCTTCTGGTTAGCAGTCAAGTGCCTTAGGCACTATGCTACCAAAGGACCCCATATAGAGGATTATTATTTTTTCCTAAGAGCCAGGTTGTGCAGTGCTGTGTGTGGATTTTATTCTAAGAGCAATGAAAGTCACTGAAGGGTGCAAGCCAGGGAAATGTGACACAGTCTGTTTTAAAAGGTCACCCTGGCTGTGTGAAGAATGAATTGTAGCAGAACAAGAATGGAAGCACAGAAATCAGAAAGCTACTGCAGTGGCCCATGGGAGAAATAATGGTGGCTTGTATTAGGGTGTTGATTCTGCAGGTGTAGTTGTTGTTATGTGCCATGAGTGGGACCTGACTCATAGCGACCCCTCCTTGCGTTTCTGAGGCAGTATACAAAGAGTGGCAATACCTACAACAATAACAGCAGTAGCTACATTTATATTGTGCTTACTACATGTCAGGCACTGTTTTAAGACTACATTTATTTCATTTCTTAACTCATTTAATCTCCCAACACAGCACTACAAAGAAGGTACTAATATTATCTTAGTTTTACAGTGAGCCAGCTGAGGCACAGAGAGATGATTAACTGGAATGAAGGAGCTGCAGAAAAAGAAAGAAGGATGGCTGTAGGTTTTAGGTTTGTGCAACTAGGTGGATGGCTGTGTCAGTGACCATAATGGGCAAGATTGAAAAATGAACAGTAGTTTTGCAGGGATGTGAAATTAAGAGCTAGCTCTATTTTTTATTTATTTTTTTAATGTGTCTTTTCTTGGATTATCTCTAACAGGTGAGACTGTTCCTGGGTTGTTACCCAAATGTGTGCTTTGTGGTTCTGTACTTTTGACGTTAGCCACAGCAAGGCTGGTCTGGCCGGAGGGTGTGAATTTCACTTTGGCCACATACTGCTGTCATGTTATTTAAGTAGAGAGAAGAAGCATGACTTAGAGAGCTGTGTTCCCATGCTCACTCTGCCAGCTCCAGCTGTGCAAATTGACTTGATGTTACTGAGGAAAATCTCATATTCTTTGCACTGACAATGGATAAAATGCAACCTATTTCACAGAGTTACTGTAGCAGTAAAATAAGATTTTTGAGCATTTTGTAACTCAAGTACCATGCTAGCACAGGAGACTTGGATGTCCTCTATATTATTCCCTGAGAATAGATAGGAGAATCTCCATAGAAATACTATTCTTTTTAGGATGGTGAAAAAATCAGAGGTTAGAGGGAGAAGAGTTGGGAGTGTTTAGGTAAAAGCAAATAAAGCTGTGATGAGAGAAACGGAAAGCTCACATCCTGGGAGGTGAACCTGTGAATAGGGTAAGCATGATTCCTTCAGCATCACCAGACCCTGGCAAGCAGCAGTACATCCCTAAAAGAGGGTGAAAATTCCTGAGTGGTTCCCAAAGTGTCTTGGCATGTTAAGGGCAGGCTGACAATGCTCAATATTTTTTGGAACTTAGAGAGGTCAGGAGTTTGATTGTAAAGATACTTTATTTCTTAGAGATTTTCCAAGAAGGAAACAGGCATCTAAGTTGATCCCTTAGACCTAATAGGAAATATTTCTCATAAGAGCTAGCTCTATTTTGTACGTGTTGAGTTTGAGGTGCCTAAGAGATTCAAGTGGAGCTATCAAGTCAGCAGTTAGATATCTGAGGCTGGAGGTGAAAGTTACCAGAGAGATAAATGTGGGTGTTCCCAAGTTATGGAATTCAATGGAATAACTGGGAGTGATAGCGTAGATAGAGAAGGGGGTCCAGGACAATTTCTGAAGCACAACAACATTAACAGGCCTGCAAGATGCCAAAGAAGGGCAAGACCAGTAGAGTGTCCAGTCTATTGCTAATCAAATGACATGCATGCACTGTTCTCTTCTCTGTCCCATATTCTCCTGGAACTGCAAATAAGTAGTAATTCATCAAAAAAGGCAGGCACTGCACTGCAGTAATATCAAGAGCTCTGATGGTGTAGTGCCTAAGGTATCTGACTGCTAACCAGAAGGCTGGCAGTTTCAAACCCACCAGCCACTCCTCAAAAAGAAGATTGGGCAATCTACTTCCGTAGAGATACAGCCTTGGAAACCCAAGGAGGGGTCACTATAAGTCGGAGCAGACTTGATGACAGTGAGTTTGGTTTGGTTTGGGGTAATATCCATCTAATACTGGTCACCTCTGTGTATTCTACAATGAATGATACATGAAGAAAACATGGACTTCCTAGGAAATATTGGTTGTCCTAAAAACTCTGGTGGGTCCAGACAGAGCTGGGACTACTCTGTACCCATCTCTCCCATAATTTCACTTATTCCCTATCCCTCCACTTTCCTAGAAATAAAATACTGGTTAGCATCCAAGCAAGGCTTTACATCAGAATATAACCATTACTTCTTGCTTTCCCCTATCTTTCTCGTTTGTCTTCTATCCTACTCTTTAATATCCTTTTGGCCAAATATAGAAATTGAAAGGTGAGAAAATCAAGATATGAGAAATCTCCACTGCTCTACACAGGTCTGAGTCCAAATAATGATTCATATACACCATTGTATAACATTTAATAAACATTCTTCAAAATTCAACGCTAAGCACACCATCAACCCTAAAATGGCACGTATGTGTATTTTCAACTCAAAATAACTATTTGGACAATTTTCTATGCCTCAGTACTTATGTGCATAACAAGCCTTTCATAACAAAATGTGACAACTTTCCTAAAAGCTCTGCTAAAGGTAATTCTCCTAGGTTTTACTTTTCCAGTTCCAAACATTTTTTCAGTTCCATTTTAATCAAATGTCATCATATTATGGATTTCTTTAATCAGAGTGGGAAACAATTTTTTTATGGCCTTTACAGTTTTTGTTTTTGTTATTGTTGTTTTGTTTTGTTAATTTTTTACTGTGCTTTGGGTAAGTTTACAGAGCAATTTCATTTTCCATACAGCAGTTCATACACATTTTGTCTCATGACATTAACTGTAATTTTCCACAATGTGCAGCTCTCTTCCCACTTCCTCCTCATAGTTACCTCTTCCCTGTATCCTTCTCTCCCATGTACTCCTGCCTCTGAACTGTCTCCCTGTGCATACACCACCCGTCTGTTCTTCCATGTTTGATCTCCCAAGAAGTGTATCTACCTGATATAAATGTTCAGCCCATATGCTGGTCCTTTATTTGGCTAGAAGGCACAGGAGTGAGTTCAATTTCAGACCTGAAGGGCAGCTAGGGGCCATAGTCTCAGGGTTTCACCAGGCTCTATACAGAGTGGGAAACTATTAAAAGATCCAGATAACTTGAGAGATATTCAAACCTGTCTTGTATAAGATAAGGAATTACATATGGAAAAAGAAAGGAAGTGAATGAAAGTGATGGCTCATGTTATTTGTAGCGGCCTAGCTACTCTGCTAGCGTAGTGCCTAAGACACTTGACTGCTAACCAGAAGTCTGGCGGTTCAAACCCACCACCCACTCCTTGGAAGGAAGGTTAGGCAATCTACTTCCGTAGTGATACAGCCTCAGAAACCTAAGGAGGAGTTGCTATATTGGGTTCCACTTGAAGCCACATAACAACAACAAGAAGCTACTGTTAGGGAGCTCTCGTGGCATAGTGCCTAATGCATTTGACTGCTAACTAGAAGGCTAGCAGTTCAAAACCACCTGCCACCTCAGAAGGAAGACTGAGCAATCTACTTCTGGAGAGATACTACCTTGGAAACCCAAGGAGGGGTCACTATGAGTCAGAATCCACTAGCAGTGAGTTTGTTTTTTTGTTTTTTACCTACTGTTAAACATTAGAAAATTTGGTATGGAATGCTCAACATATTAAATGCATTTAAAAATAAACAAACTCTATGCCCTCAGTCAGTTCCTACTCATAGTAAGCCCATGTGTTACAGAGTAGAACTGCTTCGTAAAGGGTTTTGTTTTTTTTTTGGCTGTAATCTTAACACAAGCAGATTGCCAAGACTGTCTAGCGCAGTGTGGCTGGGTGGGTTTGAACAGTTAACCTTTAAGTCAGTAGTCAAGTGTGGACTGTATGCACCACCAAGGGTCCTTGTTTTTGTTTTTAGGTGCTGTCAAGTCAATTTTGACTTGTAGCAACCCCACATAACAGAGTAGAATTGCCCCGTAGGATTTCCTAGGCTGTAGTCTGACAGAAGCCAATGACAGATCTTTCTCCGATGGAGCTGCCAAGTGAGTTCAAACCACCAACCTTTTGGTTAGCAGCTGAGTGCTGAGATACCAGGGCTTCAGGGATCTTATTACATGTCTATAATTTAAGGGGGAGCTCTGGTAGCATAGTGGCTAAGACACTTGCCTGCTAACCAGACGGCTGGTGGTTCAAACCCACCAGCCACTCCTCGGAAGGAAGGTTGGGCAATCCTACTTCCGTAGTGATACTGCCTCGGAAACCCAAGGAGGGGTCGCTATGAGTCGGGTCCGACTCGACGGCACATAACAACAACAACAACAACAACATAATTTAAGGTATTTAAGAAAACTACAAATCACATGTCAACTTCAAGTAAGTATTCTAATTTTAGGAGAATGATCCTTCACAATCTACATCCTCTTCAAATATAATAATATTGTCATAATTCATGGGAAGTTATTCAGCATGACAATGTACCTTTCCTTAATCAACAGGAACCTGCCATTTTAATTTAACTGAAGTCTCCGGTTGTCATTTCATATACAAACATACTCAATTTCTTTAAAAGGCACACTTGGACCTTGATGTACCTAACTTAGAATGGTTACAAACTATGGACCCATGGTCCTCCCAACAAGAGGGAAAATTTGTTACATGGCAGTACCGGTGGCTTCAGGCTTTCTGCAGAGAATTTTCCTGATGGCTTCTTTAAATATTTATTTAATCTTGTATGATCCGTTACAAGTTTTGACATATTAGGAAAAGAGCTTGGTTCATCTAAAAATAAGTTTATAAAACAGAGAAATTATTATTCAGAAATGAAACCTCTATGTGAATGCGTTAGGAGTGAGCTTTAGAAAGGAGAAGTTCATAGTCCACTATTTTGAGAAGGGTGGTGCTAATGGTTAAGAGCTTGATTACGAACCAAAAGATTGCAAGTTCAGACCTACCCAGAGGCACCGTGGAAAGAAAGGTCTGGAGACCTGCTTCTAATAGGTTGCAGGTTTGAACACCCAATGGAGCAGTTCTACTCCGCCCACATGGGGTCACCATGAAGTGGAGTTGACTCACAGTAACAATTTGGTTTGGTTTATTTTGAGAGGTGTATAGTATAGAGCCATATACAAGATAGATACGTATAAGGCAGGGCTCCCAAACTGGGTGTAGGTAGAGAAGAGGTAGCAAGAAGACAAACAGTGATACAGAGTGTCTTCGGTTGACAGGATGAGATAGATAGAGGCTTTAAATTCAATGTGCAGAGGAAAGGATTATATAAATCAAGCTTACAAAGATAGAGAAATATCAATTTGTACTCTGAAGTTCGCACTGTTTAGGTTGGTCTACTTAACCTGGTTACTTGCAAAGAAGACTATGCCCATGTTTTTCTGGGTTAGCCATGGCTGATGAGAGGCTAGGATACTGCCTCTCTAAAGTCTTATGAGTTGACTTGATTTTGGCAACTATCCAAAGTATGCAAAAGTGCTCAGGTGGTAGTATTTACATCCACAGTGTTGGGTGTGCTGCCTTTATCTCACTTGGTAACAGAACAGACATAAGGTTAATATGATAAGAATAAGAACAAGAACAGGCAAATGAACTAAAAAAGGAAGAAACAGGCTGAAGAAAAAGAAAGAAATGTGGAATTTGCAACACATACATAACTGACAAACCTTAAAGATCCTGAATACATAAAGACCTCCTATGGAAACCCAAGGAGGGGTCGCTATCAGTCAAATCAACTTGAGGGTAGTATTATAACAACAACAACAACAAACCCCAACAACAAACCACCACCCATTTGTCAGTTTGTTGTACTGTGGTGACTTGCATGTTGCTTTGATGCTAGAAGCTGTGCCACCAGTGTTTCAAGTACCGCCAGGGAGCCAGGTTTTAGCAGAGCTCCCAGACTAAGACTAAGACAGACTAGAAAGAAAGGCCTGGTGATCTACTTCTGAAAATTAGCCAATGAAAACCTTATGGATCACAGCAGAGTACTGTTCAATTGACTTGCTTGCTTTGGGGACATCATTAGGAGGGATCAATCACTGGAGAAAGACATCATGTTTGAAGTAGAGGGCTGGCAAAGGACACTTTCAGTGAGATAGACTGCCACCACAGCCACCACAGTTGACTTGAACATGCCGGCCATCATGAGGATAACCCAGAACTGGGCAACGTTTCATTCTGTTGCATACAAGGTCAGGATGAGCCAGAGCCTACTCAATAGCAGCTATCTATCTAGAGATCAATATGAAAATTCCAAATAACCATGGGAAAACAGAGAAAAGACATGAACAAACAAAAGACGAGGAAATCTAGATAGCCAATAATCATATGTAAAGATGCTTACCTGCATTAGTACGGAAACAAAAAATAAATGAAAAGCAAAGCCACAAAGGGATACTATTTTCCACCCATCACACTGGCAAAAAATTATGCCAAGTATTGCTAGTGATGACATCAATAAGTGTTGCCATAGTTTGGCATTAACTAGCAAAGATGAACATATTCATGACTCAACCATCCCAGTTTAGGTATATTCCACAGAAAAATGTGCACCAGTATACCAGAACACATGCACAAGAATGGTTAGAACAGCAAATGGCTAGAAACAGTTAAAAAAAAAAAAAATAGTAGAATGCATAATCTGTACATGTTCATTGAATGGAATGCTTCATAGTAGTGAAAAATGTATGGCCACATAAAGTTGGATTAATTTCAAGAACCAAAATCAAACCCACTGCTATTGAGTTGATGCCAACTTGTAGCAACCCCT